ACTTGGTCGCGAAGGAAGGCCAGTTTGATCGCGTAGTGCTTCGAGCGCTGGACATGCTCGCCGGGCTTGGAGTTTATGATGGTGAGCGCTCCTTGATTGTCGGTGCGAAGCGAGATCGGGCAGTCGAGCTTGGGCAGGAGTTCGTTGCATAGGTCGTGCAGGTGGATGGCTTCTTTTAGGGTCTCGGCCAGGGCGTTGAGCTCGGCCTCTGTCGTGGATGTCGCGACGCACTTCTGCATGCGCGAGCCCCAGCGGATTGGTCCGCCCGCGAGAATGAAGACAAGTCCTGTGGTCGATCTGCGAGTGTGATCGTCACCGCCCCAGTCGGCATCGGCGAAGCCTTGCGGGAAGTCGGTGGCGGCGTGAGCGTCGTCGCCCTCGTAGCAGATGGCGAGCTCAAGCGTCGTTTTCAGAAGGTGAATTGGGTCCTCTGTAGTCATGGGGGTGTCGTTGTTGTCCTGCTGTTTCTGGGTCAGTTGGAGTGGTGCTTTGGTTGGCGCATGTGGGCTGTTGATGATGCTGATGAATGTGATGTTCCTTGTTTTGATGATTTGACCTTGCACAAGGACATGGTGGTGTGTGGCGTTCTCCTGTGCTGGTCTGAGGTAGATTCTGTCTCTGGCTCTGGGGCTGAGCTTTGTTTGTTGGTCAGATGGTATGAGCACCTGCACCGCAGCTCCGAAGCGGTGGAGGTGCGCAGTCGACGGGTTGATGGAGCTGTCCCATTTGGCGATCAGTGCAATGTTGTTGTTGGCACTCATGGGCAGTCAATTGTTGATGGCGACGGCTAGGAAGATGGCTTCGCCCCACATGTTCTTGGGCTGGCTGCTGTTGAGCAGCATGCAGCGCACCATGTCAATGATTGTGCAGTTGAAGCGCTTGGCAACTCTGTTGTGTTCTGGCATGTGTGAGGACATGGTCTCATGGGTGATGCCATGTTCAAATAGTAGCTTGGCCACAGCATCATTCTTGTACTCTCCTCCCTGGTCAGTGTGTAGGAAGCAGCACTTGCGCCCCAATGGCGCAGACCACAGGAAGTGCTGAAGCACATCCTTGCACAGCAGGTAGACCATGGCGTAGCAGCTGTAGTCATTGACGAGGGATATGAAGTAGCACTTGCCATCTCTTGTGGTGACTGACACTGGCCCACACACGTCACTGTGTAGGTGTTCCATGGGCGCGGCGGCTCACGGCATTGGCATCTTGTGGATGGGCTTGTGTGTGGCCTTCCCTTGCAGGCACACAGCACACTCGGCTAGGCTAGGCTGTGGGCCACTTGATCCCTTGCTCCTTGAGCATGGCGTGGAGACATTTCTCACAGACATGACTGAGACGTTGATGCAGCTTGTTGATGTCTGCCATGGGTTCCTTAGCTGTAAGTGCTTGCGCGGGCAAAACCAGAGGTAGGATTGGCTTGATTGGCAGGTGCAGCATGTTGCTGCTGAGGTGCGCCTGCAGCATGGTTTTGCCAGAGGCTGTGATGATGCTGCATCTGTGGCTGTTGATCTGTACTTGATGGCCGTTGCAGGTGATGAGGGCGGTGGAGAGGAGGTTCTTGGCCAGTTCTGGCACGTAGAGGACATGGTGAATGGTGATCCATTGTCATGCTGCTCTGTTGATGGTGATGGTGGCCTTGATTGTTCCGCGACTGAGGACTGGGCACTGGTAGTTGTTGCCAAGTAGCAGGCCATGGTCCTTGTGGCTGTAGTTGACGAAGTTGTGTAGGAGGTCCTTCCAGCAAGTGATGTGTTGGGTCGCACTGGAGTTGAGGTACCAGCTATCTGTTTCGTTGCTGATGATGTTGACTTGATTGGTGATGGAGAGAATGGTTTTGTCCTTGCTGCTGCTGTTGGCGTTGTCTGTAGCAGCGTTGGCGCGTGACCTGGTCTGTCTGGCTGCGTGAAGCTTGGGGCAGTCCAGCCATACATGTCCTGGCTTGTGGCAGTAGTAGCACATGGGCTTGTCCTGGGGCTTTGCGCTTTGCGCTGCCTGCGCTCATCCTTGTGGCCTTGCCTACTTGGTGCCTGACTATGACTGTCCTCTTGTGGTTGGTCTGATCTGGGCTGAATCTCTGTCCCAGTCTCTGTTGCATGGCTTGCCACGTGAGAAGCTTGCTGCATTGACAGCTGTAACTTGGCTGTGTGCTGCAAAGACTCTGTCTTGCTGATGGATCAGCTGTTTGGCGCACTCCATGTCAATCCTGTCCTCCAACTTGATGATGGCGTGGATGGCGTTGTACTTGGGTGGCAGGCCATCCAGGATGGCCAGGAGCTGGTAGGCTGGGCTGGCAACCATGCCACTCTCCTCCAGCTCTGCCTGGGCGGCCTCAATGCACACAAAGAAGACTTCTATTTCCTTGTCTGGCTTGCGGCGAATGCTGACAAAGTTGCAGAGGAGATCCATGCACATGGCGTTGGTCTTGGGCCGCAGCTCCTTGTCAAGGTGCCACATGATGGCCTGGGGGTCGTCTTCCTTCCCCTTGATCAGTGATCTGAAGTGGGGGCTGAGTGATAGACCAATGTAGCCAGCAGTCTGTTGTCATTTCTGGTGGTACTCCTCAATCCTGTTAAACAGGTGAATGGCAGTCTCGTACTGTAGCACAACCAGCTCCTTGACATTGTCAAACACAAAGTTCCACAGGCCTTGGGCTCGAAGTGACATGGCAATGTGCTCCCGCCACTGCATATAGTGTGCAGTGGACTTGAGTGTGAATGGGTTGTTGTCATGGTTGGACATTGTTAGGGCTGTGGGCCCATAACCTGTTGAGCAGAGCAATGATGTGGGAGCGAACATAGGAGAGAGAGTGAAGAAGGAGACAGAGCATTGAGACGCTCTGAGCTCCGTTTTATTGATGAAGGTGAAGAAGCATGTGTTCCTTGTCGTCAGACTCCAATGGGAAAGTTCCATTGGACGCCAAGGGCAGCTCAGCCCATGAGAAGGAGTTTCTTCTCATGCAACAGAAAGTGTGGTCTCAAGATCACCTTCCTCGCACCTTGCCCAGTGAGGTGTGAGGAAGGTGAAAATGGGCACCACTACCCATCACGCAGAGATGAAAAAAGACGATTTCTCCGCGTATGTACACCTTTATACAGTAAAATACAATTACACAATTATGTACATAATACTCAAGCGTCGCTGCTATCCTCAATGGGTTGGTCATGCAACTCAGTGGCAGACGTCTATACCACGCCGATCACTCTGCGCGTGAGACA